TCACCGATCGCCGACAGCGATATAATCTCGGTAACTAAATTTTTTATTCGCGTTCATGTGAAAGGCGAGGAGGGAATTTAGAAATACGCAGAACGTGGAAACGTAATTTTTCGAAGAGCAACTTTGTGCAACGGCAAGTTAAACAACAAAAATTTCGTATATCTTGTATACAGGGTGCTTCTCGATTAACTGCACACTTTTTAATTCTATAGATTCTTTGGTTTCGAGCTGACTTTTCCCAATGTAAATTCTGTTATCTTTCCTAGACGCGAAGAAAATGCGCAAGGTTCGATAAATACTTTTCAAAGTATTCGCTCTTTTTATCGTTTTCGGAAAAGGCAAACGACCGACTAATCGGTCGGCTCTTTTGTCTGCTTATGGCTCGACAAGATTGACGATTATGTGTGTGTGTGTAGATTTGGACGGAAGCGACAGAAGAGACGGAAACCTTAAGATCCTGTTATCTCGCGAACCGAAAAAGGATCCTCGACGTATCTTGTGAAGCTATTCTGTCGGATATCGAGTTACATGCGGAAAAAGCATGTTATTGCAATACACAATGCGAGCGAGCAAGCACGAGAGAAAGAGAAAGAGATTCAAGTCGTCATTCAAGTATACAGTTGATAGGCCAAAGAGTGCCGCCGATTGTCATCGTTCGTATCTCAGTGTCTAGTTGATCGGGCCGGGATTTTCGCGCGTTTCGTTCTCGCGTTTCCGTCCGGACTCGCGCGCGCGGTTCTCACCCCGTCGCGTCCGTCCGTCCGTCCGTCCATCCGTACGTACGTACATCCGCCGTCCGCTATTGATTCCGGGTTTCGTGCAGCCTTCTTCATAAGTGCGTTCGCGTTCAGCGAGTCCGGCCGCGCTTGCCGCGGTTGATACCATCCCGTTTTTCTCTCCGTCTTTTCTCATCTCGCGATTTCATTGGCGCTAAGTGTCAGGAGGATCTGTTCTTTTTTAACTCGCCCCATCCCCCTTTTTTACTCTCCGAGTAAAATAAGCGCGCATTCGGGCGTCGTGTGTGGCGGGAAAGAGGGGCGCGAGGAAGGTCGAAGGAGAGAACGCGGATAACTGCGACTGAACGGAAAATTTGTCAAATAAGGGGACAGAAATAATTGAATTTACTTAGATACTCCATGCTTTCCTTCGTTTTAAAATTGTTTAGCTTACGTTGATCGAGACCGTTCAAATTTAAAATTCAGATTTGGGGGATATCGGAGAAATATACATGCATATATTTACATGAGAAAGTATATACAGCAAGTGTCGGAAACAAAAAGAAATTATTTTTTTGTAATGTGAGAAAGTATAATAACTTTTGAAATGATAATGGGGTTTAATTAAAGAATTAATTAAACAGTTTTTTTTTTTTCGTAAAATTTCCATTATCTGTATTATATTAACTTTTTAATTAATTACGTCGTCACGATTTATAGTTATTTGTAAAATTGCTTTTCTCTCCGAGTCTTTTCTCTCTCTAAAGAAAAAAAAAATACGTCAGATTTGCTCTTGTAAGTTTTGGCACGCTTACGAAAAGCAACAACCAGTGTCAACTTTTTTTCCTTACGAATTTGATAGGAATCTGAGATCGCCATCTTCTTCTGGCAATTTCCCGATCTTGGTCATTGACAGTGATATTGAAGCCTTATTTTTTTTCCCACTAGGAATATATAATCGCTGCTAATAGTGCGACGAAAGCGGAATCCTGCTCCGGAATGAATGCTACTAGACCACATATGAAAGTTCACGTATGAAAGTTCGTGATGAATGATCGGGCCGATTACGCACTTTCGAAATAATAATGTTTGAGAGGAACGACGCAATTTGCGATTTCGCACGATATCTTAGCCGGAAACGCTGGAGATTTTTTGTTAAAAGTTCTATGAAGTCTAGAAAATAGGTATTTGAAGAAGATGGAATATATGTATAATATACATGTCTAACATGTCCTAAAAATAGAACCGGAATATAACTGGATCTCGATGCAGTTTTGAAAATTCCTGTCGCATTAATGAATAAAAGAACTTGTTCCGAGTTTATTTATAGAGTTCATTTATAGAGTCAAAATATATTTAATATTTACATAAAATCGCCCATAATACACTTTTTTTATATTCTTAAGAGGAACAAAGAATAGATTACTTTCCACATTTTCGGTTTAAAATATATATCGAGTGCAGGATTTTGTTTTCCCCCCCAGAAATAGACTGTTCGACTTCGTACGACACTTAAGCCGACAAACAAGGAGAACGCGTGTTTCACCTTTTTCTCCCGATTTCTCACGCGCGTGATATTTTTCTTGAGATATAACATCGATTTTTCTAAGATTTATTATCCCCGCCCACGATCGCGCGGCACCGAAACTTCAGCAAACAGAGCGTCGGAGCACAATTCACGCTTTAATTAACGAGCACGCAGTAATGATCCCCGATACGAGAACACGTGTCTCGGAGCTTACCCTACGTTTGTCGATAACTCTCTAGTAAACCGGGTAACGGCTTGTATCTGTTTGAGAGAGGTACTGTCGAGAGTCACTCTCAAGAGTCATACAAACGGACATGGGTATTGAAAAGTATACCACACGGATTTACTTTCTTACACTTTTACTCTTTTACTCTCCTCACATCCGAGAGTCGCACTCGCAGATAGATCTTAAGAGAATGCTTTGTAAGTACGATTCTCGTTTGAGTTTCGAACATATTTTTTTCTCGAATGGCCGTAGCAGCCGTAATGTTCCACGAATTTGAGAGCTTCAGAACGGTTCGCGAATGCGCGTGGCTAATATCTGATTCTGATTGTCCCGAATCCAGAATTCTTCATTAGATTACTTCAATCTCTTCACAGTGCGCGTATCGATTAAAAGAAGTTAATACGAGAAAACAAGTTTTCTATAGTGCAATATATATGTAAGGTAAATGAATAAAAACAAGACACTTGCATATTTTTCTCAAGTTAGAAACCATCAGAAAATGTGCAGAACCCTTTCGATTATTCCATACATATTTAAAATGATCTAAAATATTTCTAACATTACGATATATCAAACACGTTAAATATTCGATCGTGAGAACGCGTAGCGTCTTCCAATTTCTCGCCGTTATTTCCACGGGTTAATAAAAGTCCGCGGGCAAAGCGTTCGGCGATGATAAAGCTTTCCGGTGGACGAAGGAACACCTGCCGAACGAACGAGATCGCAATCGCAATCGCGGTCGCAAGCTCGAAGCTTTCTCCTCTGTTTTGCTCGTTTTCTTTATCGCCGTTCGTGGAATACGCCCCGTCGCAAACATCCGACTTCCGTTTCGTGCCCGACGTTAATTTTATTTCCACCGTTGCGAGACCATATAGGAAACCATACACGCCCGGCCCCCGTAAATGCAACGCCTGCGGCCCAGGAGGCATACATTTTTAATCCCTTGCATATCACAGCGAGGAGTGCGAGGAGGGAAGCGAGAGGGGGAAGAAATAACGCGATCGTTTTCCCGTTGCGGGATGCACCTTTGATAGTCGTATTTTTATTTAACTCCTCCGTTACTCTCTCGGACGATTCCGATGCCGTAAAAAGTAGCCCTTAAGAACGCTTATCGTCAGAATTTTGGATATTGATTAATTAATTAACAGGGGTGAGACGTAATTAATTAATTAATTAATTAATTAAGTCAGACATATTTTATGTAATGCGATATATATTGAACCGTCCCATAAATAATGCGGGTTTCAAGAGCAAGAGAGTGACAGAGCCTGCTCGTTTACGCTTTTTAAAAACGTCGAGAGAGGAAACGCGCGCGAAAGAAGCCCGCATCACTTATGGAGCGACTCAATAACAATGTCGATTCTACATAGTAGTTATTTTGCCGGCAGATCTCACATCCGCACGTAGGTCAACTAGATTTCCGATTTTTTCTGCAGGTACGTGGTAACTATTATTATTCGCAATCCGGAGTAATAACGGTCGGTATATTGTACGTATAGCACGTGTATAATTGTGCTATATCACGTCTTACGCTTCACAAAGAGAGCCCGGAGACGTCGAGAGAGAGAGAAAGAGCATATCTGATCGGGTATGTCGCGTACGCTGGCGTGTATAGCATAAATATACAAACTGGTGCGTGCTTTAAAAGAGTCTTAAATGGAGATTTTCTTTACGCGTTTGTCTACTGTTAGATGCTTCTTGTCTGCTTTCAATTTTTTTCTGAGGCTATCAATCGCGAGTTTGAATGAAAATTCCAGTTTTTCACACGAAGACACGCGATGACGTTCATTTGTATACACATGTGTCCGGTATTTTATTTAAAATCTACGCAAAATTGTTACGTTCAGCTGTTGTTAACGTTCAACTTTCCGCAATGATGGGGCTACGGTTGGAGCGTAATAACGATCAAACATACAACGATCTGATAATATAATAATATAATGCCGATCTA